GCTCATCTGTAATATTAAATATTAGGCATATGTTTAAGGATGCACTGTTCCTGCTGGAACAGAATGAGGAACCGTTGAATTTGAACCTGTCTGCCAAGCCCGACTGCGCTCCGGTGTTTTTGTCTGTTCTCAGTCCCATCCTACCTGTTATTTCTCCTTTAGATATTTATCAAAGTCCATCATAGCTTATTTTTTGCGATTATTTATAACATAAAATATTTAATTATTTTAATAAAATAAAATCATTGAAATTTTAGGGAAAGCAATGTTAAAAATTAGGTATTTAAGCCCTGTCAGATTATTTCAATGAGGATAATAACTATATAACATTAAAGTTCACATTATTTTATACTGACCTACTGAATTTAATCATAATTGTTGGAGCCATCTTTGAAAAAATTGTAAAAATGGATAAAAGAAATGATATAAAATGTCACTTCTGGTTAGGCGATTTTGGCGAAATATTTGCTGTGGCATCCAAGGCATACACCTGCTTTGAATACATAATTTCAGTTTTTTACTACTTTTCGGTTTTGAGCTATTCTATTCTCACACACAGATATCATTTTGCGAAACTTGGTTATTTGGAGTCAGGGGCCGTCGATTTGAAGTATTTTAGTTGAAAACTTGGATTCCATTTTTTTTTTTCATGTTTCTCAATGCTTTCCCTTACTCTATACTTGTTAGGTAATATCTCATGTTTCTCTTATTTTATTTTATTTTTTAAATAATAAACTTATATTATTTTTTAGGTGACTAAATCTCTGGAATGTTCTGCTTTTGGAAACCTTTGGAAAAAATTATTTTAAATAGTTTTCGTTTTCCTCAGGATATATGATATTTTACCAACATTCATTAGTATTTTGAAAGCTGTGCCTTAGGTTTTTATCTCTTAAAAATATGTCTGTTATTTAATTTTAATGTAAATTATTTTAACTGTAATTTATAAAATTTACATCAATTTTCTATTATATTTAACATGTTTTTAAACTAAATTGTGGATTATCATTAAGGTGTTGCGATTTTTACTAACTCTAGTTATATATATTTTGAAATTTATGTTTAGCAATCAGTCTTTTTATTTCTTCATCCCCATTTGTTTTTGTTTAATCCAAAAGATACTTGAAGACCCACACACACATATATATTTATTTATTTATTTATATATATATATATATATATATATATATATATATATATATATATATATATATATATATTTAAAAAATGAAAGCTATATTGTTAGCATTAGTGTTTTGTTTTTTTTATTGTTTCAATTATACTTACATATAACTGTTTATTAAAATATGATAATTTTATTGTTTTTGTCCTTCCAGTCATCCAACTCTTTGTTTTTAATATAATGAATATCTTAATATATATGTGTGTACCTTATGTTGTTTAATTTTGTGTTTATATTTTTAAAATTATTAAACTTGATATAACTGAAGAATTTTAAAGTATTTATGTTTATAAAAAATAAAATGTTAATGCCCTCTATGATCCAATGTGATTTCAATGTTTCCATGCTCGTTTTCATTTGATTATCTGTAGGAAACAGTATTTAAGTATTGTGACTGATTTATAAAACTGTGATAATAGAGATATAAATGCATATAGATATATCATTGCAAATTGCATTTTTATTATAGTTTTTAATGTATCATTACAAAGTATTTAGGTTTAAGTATTTCTTTTTTAATATTGTATAATTATAAAAATTATTTTTCCATTTGTATTTCTGAGCATATATTTTTTAAATAAAAAAAATAAATGTTTTTTTTTTTATAAACAAAGAACAAATAAATTTGTTAATATTCCTCAGTGATGTGTTTTTTTGTTCAAATAACACGTTAAACTCAATCAAAATAAGATGGTTTATTGAATAAGAGCAAGTATTTAAACTCAGAGCTCATAGATGGTATCAGATCTACTCTCAAATTGGTTAAATGATGCTATCGATGAGCACGTTATTGAGCTTAAGAACTTGTCCTACTACAAATAAGCCAAGCAAGAAATCCAGCTGGAGCAAAGTACATGTATTATCATTATTTGATGGTGTATAACGTATAACGTCTAATTTACGGCTTTAATAATAACAGTTGTTAAGACTTAAGCAGCACTTTTTAAAAATGCTATAACATTGTTACTTAGCTTACTCTGTATATATATATTAATGTAATTACTGTTTATAATTTTAATAAGCTTATTCACATTGTTTATAATTTTTTTTTTTCTAAATGTTATATAACTTCTACAATTCTCTATATTTTTGTATCTTGTCCGTTCTAGCCCTGAACAAGACCTGCAAAGTTGGGACGAAATATTGGCTTTTAATAAAATAGTTTTACCACTATTTAGCCTATTTATGACAGCCATCTCCATGGACCATCTCCGTCCTTTATAATGCAACGGTCAACTATTAAATATTTAATTTAACTTTTTCCTTATCAATATATTTTTTTAATGTTGGTTGAATTTTAACAACTTATAATGCAACGGTCAACTATTAAATATTCAATTTAACTTTTTCCTTATCAATTTATTTTTTTTATGTTGGTTGAATTCTAAGAACTGATCAACAATGCTAACTTTGCTAAGCAGTCCACGATAATCAGTTCTCAACAATTATTTGGTATTATAAATTCTAAAATTAACAAAGATAATTTAAAACTCATATTCTTGCGAAATAGCCAGGTGGCCGCCGAAAAACATATATTCTGTTGCCATTCTCTAGCTTGTGCATTTTTTATGAAAATCAGGACTTTTTAAAATGTTTCGTCATGGCGTTTTAAAAAAATTCTTGATATTTTTAGAAAAAATGCACAAGCTATGGAAGGGGAACAAAATATATGGGTTTCGGCAGCCTTCTGGTCACCTTAATCATATCTTCTTTCACCTTTTAGCACTATCTCTAATGCCTCCTAATGTTTATCGACCTTGAAGCCCTTTGACTGATCTTAAGTTATTGAATTTATTCTTCACCTCATTTTAAAATTATTTTTCATACTTCTTTCTATCCATTTGATCCAACACTTTAATTCCCTTCAGTCTCTGATAGTTTGATTCCAGTTAAAATTGGGTTGGCAGTCAGCTCCACAATAGTTTCTTATATATTTTCAATCTAGTTGTTAGTACCTTAAGGGAATATCCAGCGCGATGGTGGATGTCATACTTCTATCGTTTATACCATATAAATATATTTTATAAAGATTGTTTTTATAATTTTGTTTAAGATAATTGATTGAAGGAATTACTGAAACTGTTCATTAAACTGCTCAGCTTTCTATAAGTTGCAACAGTGCGATGGCGAATGTTTCATTGAAACAGCTATCAAATAGTATATAGTACAGTACAGTTGCTGCAGGATGCTGTCTGAACCAGTTGTAGATGGTTGTATTTATTTCATAGGGTTATATCTGTTCACTAACTGCTCCAGGATTTAATTTTAAAGGAGGGCTTCAGCCCGAAAGCTTTTAAAAACAAAACGGTTATTACTTTGGGAAAAAAGAAAGAAACTAACCTATATGAAATGGTGTTTAATTGAATCTTGAATTTAATTACATACAAAGACAATAATACTTTTAGAAATAAGTTTTTAATATTTATATAAAATCAATGCTATGTATTAACATTTGGAGGAAGAGGGGCAGGACTTCAGCTCCAAAGTCCCCCCTCTTTGCCATAAATCCGCCCATGTATCTGTTTAAGAGAACTTTTAAGGTATCTGTGCCCAAAAGCTTAAATAAAACAGGTTTCTATATATGTTCCAAGAAGCAGTTTGAATTAAACATGTTTCTATATCTGTTTATATTAAACAGTTTAACTGTCAACCGTTAACTAGCGATTAGAAAAAAAAAAATAGTAAATCTAGTTAGGATATGCTTGACGGAAACATTCAATAAAGGTAGAATCGGTAATTATGTATCCAACAGTTTGAGGTTCATTCCGGTTTAAAAAAAGGTGAATCTCTTTCACCTGCCTGTTTAATTTAGAATCAAGACAAGTCATTAGGGAAGTAATGGGTACCGAAAAAAAAGTTTGAATCTTGGTTGAATAATACCCTTGCCTGGTTATGCTGATGATTTGGTCCTGCTAAGCGAAGACACCGAAACTATAAAACTAAATATGAAAGCCGGTAAAAAATAGACTGAAATTAACAGGGATAAGATAAAGCATATGATTATGCTTAAAAACTGCGACATTCGGTGATATCGATATAGACGGGAATATGTTCGAAAATGTTGAGAAGTTTAGATATTTAGGGTCTATGTTAAATGGAACAAATTATATTGCAGAGGAAATTAAGAGTAGGCTAAAATCGGAAAATGCTTGTCATTTCTCTATGACAAAACTACTTGCCTCGCGCCTTCTGTCCTGAAACTTAAAAATTTTAATTTATACATCCATTATCCTAAGTACGGTGTTTTATGGATTCGGAACGTAGCCGCTTATATTAAGAGATGAGCAAAGTCTTAAGGTTTTTGAAAATAAACTATTGCATAGAATATTCGGACCTAAGAAGGATTAGTCAACCAGAGAATTTAGACCGTTACACAATGCCACAGTTTGTGAACTCTATCCCGTTAATATAATTGAAGTAATTATATTGTGGCGAATAAAATGATGGAAAATGGAATATCATCTTGACTTGAATATCGACCTTTATCTACTGAAATAACTGAAAAGTAATTTTTAAATAAGGATGAAAAAATTATCCCGATATGCAGTTTAAAATTTCTTTTATGTTAGCTGTCCTTTCGACCTAACTGCATAATTCTTGTTTCGACTTCAAAAACATACCCCTGATGATGGCTCACATGTTTGGGCCTAAACGTAGGTTAACTCGTTAAAGAAATTTTTGACAGCTTTATCTGTCAATCTTTTCATCCTTATAATTTCAACAGTAGTCTGCTTACCCATCTCTAAATCATTTTAAAAAAAATCGTATTCTTCCTCTTTGGATTCGATAAGCGAAGGTAATAATTCAGTTGTTGGCCGCCAAGATTAGTAGTTGATTATAAATTTATTTATTTAGTTTAGGTTATATTCAAGACTCATCTTCGAAACTGTCTTACAGTTTAATCTTGAGTTGGTTGAAAGCATAATTATGTTCCTATGGTGATGTCCGAAGAGTGGGAGATATCTTGTTCTGACGACGAGAAATATGAAGTGATACAAGTTGAAAGTGGTAAGTGGGAACCACCTCCAGAAATGATTATCAAGTATTACGATGAGTTAGACAATGGCCAGAAGTATTTAGAATTAAACTGGAAGTGTCCTGGACGCAGGCCTCCTACTCCCGAAAAGACAGATGAACAGAAGGAAAATGAAAGTACTGTTTCAGAAAGTAAGAGTGAAGAAAAGGATGAATATTTTGATTTTGAAGTAGATAAAGGGCCTGCAAGCTTAAGACCATCAGGTGAAGTTGGACCCAGAGGCAGTGCTAAAAAGAAAACCACCAGTTTGGATGCTATTCTTTCTAATATGGCAAGGCACCGAAGAATGGACATGATGGAAGAAGATCCCCCAGAAATCTCTCGAATTTAGATGTTTTATTTTGTTCTAACAAATTATCAATTGACAAACTTGTGCAATTATATTTTAGTGCTTGTGGGTTATTCAAATTCAATATACTAAGATTTATTTATTAAGCTTACCATTGTGTGTAAATATATACATATCTTTTGTTGTATTTATATGTAAATTATGACTATAAAGCCTAATTAAAATCTGCCAGTATCTGGTCATTAGTTTTATTATCAGTATTTTTCTGTGTAGTAAAAAAATGTATGTTTGATATTCTTTGTAAATTATGTGTAAATAAATATGATAAAAAGCTTATGACTCTAGGTTTATTTAAAAAAGTAAAGTTTTGTGGGTAAGGTATTCATTTGTCTATTGAAATTTTGCTAGATATCAAAAAGGTAAAGTTTTCAGTTGCTTAAAATATATTAGATGATTTATATTTAAACTAGCATATACTTGTAAAAACTTTCATTGTTTTTTGCAACTTATGATACATGACTACATATTCTAGTCAACTGGTTTTATGATTACCGTTTGGTTGAATCAATTTATTTATAGATGTTATTATGGATAAACTTGGACAGTTAAAGCGATTTTACAAAAGATTCAACTATTGGTAATTTTAAAATAAGAAGATTTCAATTGAATTTTCAACTTTCATTCTTTTTTTGCAACTTATGATACGTGACTATATATTCCTGTCAACTGATTTTTATTTTCATTATGATTACCTTTTGATTGCAACTTATTTATGAGATGTCATTGTGGATGATCTTGTACATTTAAAGTGATTATACTCAAGATTACACCTTTGGTAGTTGATTGGATTTTAATTTCTGAACAAATCAGATAAATGTTGATTATTTTATATTTCTGTACTAACAAGAAGAGGATAAGTCAGTGGATCACCAATTTCAAACAAATTTTTTTGTGATACTACTGAGAAAAATATAGGACATATCTACCGACGATCTTTCCAATGAGACACCCACATGACTTTCTTTCTTAGGAAATCCTTATATCCACCCATAACTATTACTATAATCCGGTACCTTAATTAAACTATGTACGGTAAACTGGACTCTACTTAGACAAAAGACTTACCTGGAGGATACATACTGAATTAAAAAGACAAGAATTGACTAGATGATATAACCAACTCTCTCATCTGTACTACAGATTCTCACTGAACCTATGTAACATGTGACTGATCTACAGGATCATACTGAGACCAATTTGGACATACAGAGTAGAACTTTCGGGCTCTGTGAAACAAACTCAAATTAAATACAAACAACACTATAAAAAATTCTACAAAAATTGTCAATACACCTTTGTGCATTTCAAATAACGACTTAAGCACCCCAACAGTAAAATCCTACATACACGAAAAATACATTTCATTTCATTCTTCAACTCTAAACGCTTCAATCCATTAGTCCTTTCTATTACCTGTTCCCTGTTATCTGAATGATGTAAACTAAAAAGAAAATGGCTAAGGGAACTACTCCTACAATAATAACAAAATCAAGATAACTCTCAGCTAAGGCCCAAATCAGCTACAGCGCAGGTGGAAATGGCATACAATTAAAAAAAAAGTTTTAAATGATCCTAAGGGCTCGTTCGAATGAACACCGGGATATATGTCCAATATTTTTTGATATAGCATCACCAAAAAAATTTGGTTGAAATCAGTGACCCACAGACTGTATCCTTGCCTTATAAGTTTTCAATGAATCTATCACATAGATTATTATAAACAATTATGTAAATTGAATTGTAAAACAATGTAGTTCATTTTCAACTCCCTCAACGTACAGATTTAAGAAATCACAAAATCTGAAGGGTTTCCTTTTCTCTTGGTTAATTGATCACTAATAAGTATTGAAATACTTATTTTAAAAGATCTAGAAAGAACAGTTTTGAGCTTATTCTGTACTTATTGTCCAAGGTTTTTATCTTCAAAGATGTTATTTTCCAGATTTATTTTGTTCGAAGTATGCTTTCAAAGCTATATATCAATACCAACACATACATTAAATATCTAAGTTCTTCCCTATTTCTAAAAAATTAATTTTGTCTGAGAATATAGTGAGTGATTTTTCACAGCATCAGAAACAAACAAAACAACTTCCGGTAACCTATCTTGCTTTAATTGCTCTCTATGATTAACAAATGGACATAGCTTAGCACTAATATCAAACAATTATAAATCATTCTGTTTAAGTTGATTTGTCATAGTTGCATAGGTTACTTAATAAGATACTTTCATTAGTAAAATTCTTTCTTTTTTTTTTCTTATAAAATTATTGCCACAGTTCCCAATTTGAGAATCTCTGCTTTAGCTAATTACGCCATGGAGCCTCATCATTCCTGAATGAAATCTCATGTCAGATAAGTGTAAATTTCATTACCAAGGGCAAGAAGTTTTTTTTTAAAAGTTACCACCACATTAGGTTTCACAACTTTATATTATTTTATGCAGTACTTCACTTGACAATATTACCGTTTGTTGCATTTACCATTTGTTGGGAAACAATTGCAACTTATTTTGCTTATTATATAATTTTAATTTTCTTTAAAAATGCACAAAAACAGCTTTTCAATTAACACATCTATATATTACATATATTTAATGCTGACGGAAAACAAAGAATTAAATATTTGGAGATTGGGAAAAACTAGTTAAAAAAATAAGAGAAATTTGAACATTGAATTATATTAAAAATAAAAATGACCACATTAATAGGAAAATAAACATACAATTAGACATTTATAAATCTTCTAGCTATGCTAGGTTATACATTTGAATGACATAACAACTAAACATCAGTCACTTAATGATTAATATTATTTTCTGTATATATACAAAAATATAATTTAATTATAAATTTACAGCATAAAACTATTTTTATTATTTTTTTTTTTACATGAAAGATCAATCATTTTTTCACTCATTTACAATCACAATATTTAAGCAGATATATTCTAATAGAAATAATGAATAACGAGCAAAGCTTTAAACACACAACGAGTGTAGAATCAATTGTGCTTCCAAGAAGTAAATATATTTAAAATATTTCAACTGATTTTCCACTGATGGGCGCTTTACAAAACAGTATATAACGTGACAAAAATAGGTATAACAAAGGAAGTCATCAAGTAACTCTGTCCAGAAACTACTTTCACAAGGCACCATACACCAACTACAACCAACACTTGGAGAAGATTGTTCAATATTTTCAGCCTAAAACAGATAAAACAATATTAAAATCACAATTACGTTTTTAGATGATCAGGCATCTGCTTAATTCTCAATCAAATAAAATATGAATAATAATGAATGAAAAGTAATCTTTCTTCTGGGTAAGATTATCTCTTCAGATTAATTTAGTTAAAAAGGGAAATTTCAGTTTGGCTTCATATGTGAAAAAGACAATATAAAATTCCAATTATAGATAATAATAAATAACAATTCTAAATTATAATAGTAACTACAAAACGACAATATCATAGATTTTCCTAGAGCAAACCATGTGACTCTACTTTGAATAAAAAAAAAGAAATGCTCATTCCTCTCCAGTCATTGACACCTTACACAAATCAAAACAGATTTTCATTCATATTGTTTAAAGAGAAAGAGCCCATCAAGCTCTTGACTCGTATACAACCCCACAGTCGCCTGGGACAGATTCCGATTTGAATCATATATGATATATGAGTCCACCCTCAATTAAGTTAAATTCTCTTTCAATTCATATATGTGGTGACTGTCATTAAAGATTAAGGATAGTCACATCCAGTAAACTCTACACCACTTTTTGAGCCATTTATTGACTCGACTGTTGATAAAGTTTATCTTGCCATAAACTCAATTGCAATAGGCATTTGAGATAGAATCTCAACAAAATATCATATATTGTGTATGTAATCTTACTTTTGATATCTTTCATCTTACTTACTACTACGATATCTTACTTTTGATATCCGGTTTAGAAAAAAATATATATTTGACATACAACTGTAGTATGAGTAAAATATTATAAGAATGTTCACTGACCTAAGGTGTAAAGTGGGTTCTAATATTTTTTAAGGCGAAAAGAAGTTGAGATCTGTACTTTGCACGTCGAAAAACATTAAAATACAAATTTTCAAACCAATTGAAAAATAAAAATTTATTGTTTAAACTTTGTGCCTAGCTGGCTGGAGCCTTAGATTTTTTTCTTCCAAAAATCATAAAAGTTGATCACTTCGACATGGCTCAACTTATCCACACGAAAATTAGCATGAGTTTAGGACCCTAAATATAGACAAAATGGCACACACCAAATACCCACAAATAAATTAGGCTTGGAAATAAAAAATGAAAATGTTTGTGGAGTTTTTCTTTATGTTTTCCTTATAAATCATAAAATCTAAAAGTTATTGAAATGGTTTCTAAGAGCAATAATTTAATTTTTCAACAGTAGCAGTGATGACTTAGAAGAAAATCCTGAGGAGTTATGAATATTTTAGGAAATGGCATGAAATATTAAGCCATAAAATTTATATATTTTTATTTCAAAACAAACCCATATTTAAGAGTACAAGTCAATGCTAAAAACGAATCTGAATAGTTTTTCAAGAGCAAATTTTACTTGGCCTATTTTACTAGAAGCGTCTATGGGTTTTTATAATTTATTATATATTAAGAATTCATTTAGTACAATTAACAATATGTTTTCCTTATTTTGCACAAAAAACAAATCGATTGAAATATAATAACTTGGAAACTCATGCAGAGTTTTCTCACAATCAGAAAACAATAATTTTTTTTTTCTTCGCTTCGAGATAAAATATTTTGGCGAAATTGGCAAGAACTCTCAGATATAGGTCTAATATTTTTCGTACTTAGTGTCATTAAAAAAAGTTTCATTGAAATTGGTGACCAAACACCTGTTATCTCCCATTGTTATTACACCTATTTATTTAGGCTGTGCCCCCATTAGGTAGTATATCGACAAGTATATTTATTCATGTCATTATTCTTGTTCATATTTACTGGTTGCACTTATTTAATACAATGGTAAATTACAATAAAAAAAACAAACATGAAAACACAAAACTGTCAACAACCAATTCAAAATTTTGATAGCAAATATTAATAAAAATATCTGCATCTACCTACTACCTACATTGGTGAGCCCAATACCCCCCACTTAAACATATTTGGTATAATTTTCAAATATTGTTAAAAATAATAAAGGAATCTACAAAATATTACACTTAAAAGCATCTATGGAAACAGATATTTGTTCCTATTCAGGAATATAATAAAAAATGTATTACATATAAATAAATATATATGTACACAGACACAAACAAATGTACGTAGATCAACTATAAAAAAAAAATTGTATTCCTTTCATTGTCGAGATGCCTAATTATTGATATTTTAATGGATTTAAATTTTTTTTTTTTAAATTGATAAGTTCATAAAAACAAATATAGATATCTTTAGATGAATAACAAGGAAATAATCCATAACGGTGGGAAAATAGTTGATTGTAGGTACTTACATTTTTTGTTTTTTCCGAGCACTATCAAAATTGGAAAGGGGCTCATTCTGGAGATAAACTTTGACTCCAGCTGCTAGATTATCAAAGAAATCCAACCAGTCAATAGTAGCAATATCTAAATAGAAACTGTCCTTATCTGATTCCTTCAATGTACTGCTTAACTTTAATAAAGATTTGTTGTCAAAAAGCCACTCATTAAAAATAAATGGTTCAAGCCTGTCAAGGGATCTGTTGATGTTTGTATGAAGCTTGACGAGTCTGAAACAAACATATAGAATTTACAAATTTTGTGAATGTTTATAGTTTATAGAATATAGTATCTTAATAAATATTAGAGTTAAGAATATAAAAATTTGAAATTTTAAAAAATTAATAATAAAGCATCTATTATCAATTAGTTACACATTTTAATTATCTTAGGCACAATCTTTGAATAATCACAAATTTGTAGCTGATATTTTAATTGTATCAGTATTGAATTAACTAATTGATGATGATATGACTACTTTTTTTCCCAAAATTCCCTTGTTAATCTAATAAAAAAAAAAAAAAGAAAAAAAAACTGCAATGTGAAAATGTGCATTTGTTGAAAGAAAAATAAATCTAACCAACAGCCATTCTACCTCTACCACTGCTAAATTATCCTTTGAGGGTATTTAGATTAAGTCAAACAAATAGGAGATAGCTCTTTCTTTCAGAAATCAATGTAATTATACTAAGCATTCAGAATAAAACTATTTAAATTAGAGGTACTTACATAGGTCTACCACCTGCTACTTTGGTTACGGTATCAAGAATATAAGCTGGAATCCAATGGAAGAATATTGCTGACAATTTGAACAAGAACAGAGATGGCAACAGTTTTAGAGTGGGATACCAGGCAGCTGATTTTAATGGATATTTCTCAAGAATCTCTTCCATGTGTGGAGTTAAAATATTCCAACGGAAAGGTTTATGGGTGCTAGATGTCAAGTGAAAGATGGGAGTTTCGCTAGGCCTAAAAAAAAAAAAATTATATATATATACATTTCAACCTATCATAAATATATACATATATTTCAATCAATGCTTTTCCATTAACTGATATAAGATTTTAAAAAAGAAATGACTAATAAAAATTAATATTTGCTTTATATTTTTATACATCCAAAACTATTTCAGAAAAGAGCTGATTTTAAGTTTGCTAAGTTCGTTCAGTTAAATAGTGACTAAAGTAAACAACCTAGTAGTGGCAGCATGGTATGCTCCAACTAAGATCCCATTAACAACAACATCAACTGGAATGTAGTCAGCTATCAAATCTGGATTGGCAGGCAGCCTCCTAACAACGCCTTTCCCAGCACCCATCAAGAATCCTTGGGGTCCATTCTTTGAAGCAGTCCAGCCGGGAATAGGTTCCTTCCAAGCACCAACAACTGTATCACAAATAATAGATAATTAAAATGATTCGAGGGAGAAGTAACAACATGAATATGTATTTCTAACAGATCTAAACAAATACATTAAAAATTAATTATTGTAAAAATACTTACTCATACTTGGCCTAACAATGCAAGATGGAAAGGAAGAAATAGAAGCAACTACTTCCTGCTCAGCAAGTGCTTTAGTGAAAGTATAGGTGTTAACATAGCTACCCAGAAGCCTAGGGAAAAAAAAGTAATATTCATTAAAAATTAGTGAATTTTAAGAGCTTAGTTATAATAGCTTAATATAGTTTAAGGATCTCTACCATTTGCTAACTTATTCCAATACTTAGGTATATTCATATTTAACTTGTCATATAATCATTACTTATATATGAGGACCAGCACATATTCATTCAACCAGAAGATGCTAAACTAGAAAACCTTTAGATAGAAACCATTTTAACTACCTACCTAAACCATGAAATGACCATCAGATTCATATGAAATATTCGCCATTACTTCCAATAAATGCCAAAACATATCAAAATAACAATTTTAGTGTCAATGGGTAGCGAACTAAAAACATCATTTTCTCTTCAAGTTAGAATTCTTGTATGTAACATCATCTTTTATCCAGTTTGTTTGTAGTACAACAAAACATAACAGAGCGGATTAAATTGATGATTTTAGAAATAAATATTTCACAAATAATTAAATTTTATAAAAGGTTCATTGAAATTCGACCATTTGTTGCAGAGACTATTGACCAGATGTTCGTTTCTTTTACCTGTTCCATCATCAAGCTAGAGACATCAATGTATGTGTCTTGACTCTATCATTTTTATAATTTAGCTTTAGAGTTCCTTGGAAGGGTCCCAAATATAGAATTGAAATAAATAAATACAATTAGTTTTGGGGTAAAACATATCACCGTAACAGAAAAAATAAAACTATTATTTTCGAGGCACACTGAGGAGCTGCTAATAAAAAATACAAAACAATCATTTTTGGGACATATGGAGGGTTCCAAAACCTTCATTAATAAGAAATATGAAATAGTTAGCTTTAGAGCCCTCGGAAGGTAACTAAACATCCTGCCGTAATAAAATATTACAAAGCAATTATTTTCAGGACACATAGAGGGTCCCTCAATATACAATGGTAAAAATATACATATATATATATATATATATATATATATATATATATATATATATATATATATATATATATATATATATATTATTATTATTTATTTGACGCGAAACAGTCCTGAAGGACTACATGAATATGAAACTGGTTTCTTTTTCAATTTCTTCCTTTCTGCCCAACTCTGCTTGAGGATTTCACTAATTTTTTTCTTCCTCTCCTCCGTCCACTTCCTCTTGGATGGAATTTCCTTTCTGTCCACCAGATGCACCGCACTATTCAGGAACTTGTATTCTGTTCTATCCTCGCATAATTCCCGTGTTATCCCAAGCTTCCGTATTTCCTGTTATATCCATCCTGTATATCCATGGTTAAACTTGTATCCCATAACTCTATTGAAAATCTTCTTGTTTAACCTCTCCTCGGTCATCCTTTGTATGTGTCCATAAAACCTATAAATTTCCATAAAAACTGTAAATTTCCTTATTGGATTTCAGTCTGTATTCTTCTAGTGTTATTTTGGGCCCATGGATTCTTCTAATAATCCTTCTTTCTATTTTCAGCAGTTTCTCCAAACTGGGAAAGAACATTGTCTCCGTTCCGTACAGTATCACTGGCTTTATCACTGTATTGTAGTGCCTGATTTTGGACTTTTTGGAGAGGCATTTTTTATTATAAATGCTACTCGTTAAGTAGCATAATTTCTCCAAATTTTGTATCTTATACTCCAAGCTTCCTTTCTCCGATAAATTTCTGCTGATTATTTCGCCCAGATATTTGAAGCTTTTAACCACCTTGATTTTATCGAATTCTGTTTTTATTTCTGTCTTCCTATAGTTGGGGTTTGTGGTCATAAATTTAGTCTTCTGGAAGGAGATTTTAAGTCCAGTTTTCTCGGCTATTTTTTTCAGCGAATTTATCTGTCTAATCGCCTCTTCCTCCGACTCTGCCAACAGGGCCAAGTCATCCGCAAAGGCTAGACATTTTACCAGGATATTGCTCCTTTGATTTATATATATATATATATATATAAAACAAGTATCATTAGACCTTTGGGAGGTGGTTTCCCAAACATACTACGGTGATGAGGGGAAAATACGAAACAATTTTTTTTAAGCATGCGAAAGGAGCCTCAAATATAATTCAGTAAAAACATACCAAATTGTTTTTAAGTGCTTAGGAAGATGTTCTTTTAATAAGGCATATGAAAATCTGAACAGTTTTTCTTTTCCGAAAATTCTTTATATTTAATTATCAAATAACTATCTAAAATTGATGAAATAATTATCTTTGGAGCTCCTTGGAGGTCCCAAGGATATTGTGAGAATAAAATAAACTAAACAATTATTTATGAGTTCTCCTAAGTGGCCACCAAACTTCCCACAGTAATTAAAAAAAATACAAAACGGTATCTCTTGGGTTTCCAGATCCTTCTTGGGTGCCCTTTAAATATACTAAGGTGATAAAAAAAATGATATTTTTTATCCTGTCAAGTAAAACTACCCCTGTTTTCAGTAAAAATGACTAAAATGTATGGTTGCAAAGCTTTTATTTCTTATTTTTTCAATTCAACACTCAATTGCCTCTCAACACTCAAAACTCAATTGCCTAAACACACACCTTATTTAAAAAAAAAAAAATTAATAGGAAAAATAACGATTTTTCAAATATTTTCCAGCTACATCGATTATAAACTGTGTTTTTCACACATATCTCTGTTATAGGAATTTAAGCCTATTTATAAGTGACAAACTAAATGTTCCAGATCCTAATATTAACGTTTTCATCAAAATAATTGAAGCATTCAGCAGGGTTTTTTTTTTATTCTTTTAAACGTAATTTTAATTTTAAACGTAATTTTAATTTTAGAACTAGAAACTTTTATTTTGTCACTAACATTTGAGCTTAATATTAAGTCTCTCCCTGATAAACCTCAAATTAATTAATACGGACTTAAAGATTATTAAACGAAGAAGTATTTGTAAAAGTGGGGTAACAGTAGTATAGTTGGATGATGATAAAAAAAAATTGCGAATAATTTCTGAATTTTTTAAAAACAGAACTTAGCTTAGTTTAGCCATTTAAAAGTCTTCTGTAAATTATTTTAACGAAGACAAGCTCTCTGTTCACTTAAAGCAAATTTCATCTTGTTTACAATGAAGCAATTATTAGTTACTTAAATTAAATATTTCTTTAATTATTGTTTTCGATTCAACAAAAAAATTAAAAAAAAAAACACAAAATTCGGATTTCCCACTTTTTTGCTGACAATCGGCTCATTTTTTATATGAACTTTTTTGCAGCACTTGAGGTCTGTTATCACCCTTATAAAAATTTCCCTCTACTTATGGACACCCTGTGTAAAATTATAATTTTTATCATTCCCTTCCCGGGGCACCCGAAAAAGCTTAAGCTCGGGGATCGCTAACTAGACGACATGGCCAGACCATATCTGCCTGTAAAATGTGCACAATTGCCTTGATCCAAACTAGCTATAGTGAATAGTAGTAAAAGGTCGAAATATAAGGACCTACTTCTTGGTAGCTTCTTCTAAATCGGTATCACTAACTGTTCTGGCTACTTCTATTACTTTTTCAGCTTTCTCTGGTACAGGATAAATTTTTTCTTCAGCATTGGTTAAATGTGAATTAACATAAGCGCTCGAAACATGCAAAAGAGCCTGAAAAAACAAAACAATTTTTTAATTTAATTTTTGGATAATGAAAGAAATTCATTCACGAAGTTAGTCAAATTAAGATTTGGCAACAAAATATAATGTAAAATAAAAATAAATAAAACTAGTCATTCACTGGATCGGTGTGGGGACACAATGGGATGAGTAAGGGAAAACTCGCAACATCGGCTAAATTTATTATTTATTTTTTTTTAATTGAGCTATTCAATACAGTAAAAAATGTATATTATCTCAATTGAAAATATTCTGTAGAACTTCACGGACTTCACACAGAGTATCAATAAAATAGTTTAAAGTTCTAACAGTTGGATTTCTAAAAAGAAAAAAAAAATAGATTTAGCCAATGTTACGAGTTTTTCCTTACTGGTCCCACTGTGCCATAACGTGCACTTCATTTGAAACCCTCACGGGACTATGCATTGACATTGTGGGCAAGGCCTTAAGGCATATAATAAGTATAATGCCTTAATTTTCATATTTGTTTTTTTATTTTCTACATAAATGAATGTTTTTATTTTCCTATTAAAATTAAATTAACTGGTTATTGCCAAATGTTCGCTCTAAACCAAAATAATTATTAATCATCAGATAAATTTTCATTAAATGAAGTATTTATGGGCATTCCTACTAACCTAGTGGACGACTAGCTTGATGAACCACATTATGAAGGAAAACATTAGGATATTACCTGCAAATTGGTAAGTTCACGGCAGAATTCAATAACTCGCTTTGTTCCAAGTAAATTAATACTGACAGTTTCTTTGAGATCTGCTTCGAAGTCTAATGTGGCTGCTGAGTGAATGACAACATGAATTTCAGGTTTCAATTTTTCTCTGTCCTCAGGACTCATTCCAAGATTATCCTGACCAACATCTCCACCAACAGCCTGCAGCTTAGCATATATTCCTTCACCTCTCTCTTCAGTCAGTCTTTTGAATACCTAAGTGATTATAAAGTTTTAATTAATTCAATAAATATATGAGTGGCTCCATATCAAAGGCAAAAATCTGCCATTTACAGAAATTTGAGAAAAAGCCAATTTCTGTTATACAGCATCAATTTAAATCAAATAAGTATTGAAATTAGTTTAAATCAAGAGTATACATAAAACATAAAATTTTGAAACAGAAGTATTTTAGACTCAAAATAAAAATAATACAACTATGAGCTAGAAATTTTCTGTGCATAATGACAGATCGATTTTGAGGAATATTGAAGAATAACGGAATGCAATGCTGTTGGCCTAAGTATAGCAAATAAATAAAATAATGGCCGGACATGCTTTGCAGATCTTTCAGTACCTACTGGGAATGATGCCATGAAGATATTCGAAGCAGCAACTACATTTGATACCATTAGCGTCATTTCGTTTTACTGAGGGACATATTATAAATTTAAACTTATCTGAGAAGGTCCAAAAATAAGTGCATCTAGAATTTTTGATATATTTCCGCATACATGAAATAAGGTATAAGTGATTTAAGCAAATTGATTACTATTATCGGAAAATACGTAGATAGTAATTTTAATTCTGCGATTTGTCAGCACAAATATGTCCTAAGGAACTCACAGAAGCCCAGTGACTCATATCTAAAGTCTAAACAGAAGCGAATAAATTGAGATTTAGCGACAAACAACTTCTATTTGGACGCGTTACTATATACTTTTACGTTTGGATCGTACGCACTATCTCGGGCGATATACTGCGTACGTTTACGTGTTTTGTATCACCCTTAGGTGTAAAAGATTTGTTTGGGGTATTAGTAATAAGTAATTTGTATCGTTAATAAGTGGGGATCCGAAGTATAGAAGATTTAAAGGTTTAAATTTTAAGTAGTTTTAGTTTTTCTTGTATTAATGTTCCAGATGAATCTCAAGTCAACGAGTTCTCTGAGATATCAGTGTTATTTTTATTTTCAGATAGATTTAAAGAGTGTAAAGACCTCTTTCTTCTTACAAGGGCGGTACAACGACAAATTATTTCAGAAAATTAATATTGACGTTTTTGGGTTGAAACGTCGGCACTAATAAAAACTTTATAATGACTGCGTCCTGAATATTTATCATCCAGAATAAAAATAATAATACACTAAGCCAATAAGTATTTAATTCTTTTTTTTTTTTTTTTTTTTTTGCAATCAACAGAATGAATATTTATAGTATGAAGCATTGAAGGTTGTATTTATTAATATGTTGAGCGCACGCGAACGAGCCCTCGTATGCACAAACAACACATCTCTCTTCATATTAAAATTCGAAATAATTTTAGGTTATGAAACGACACTTTTGTAATTACCCAACGATATATGTATCTCAATCGAATAAAGAGGATACACAAAATTCAACAGAGGTACCCAGAAGTTAATTCGTGGCGCTAGTTGTACCCTTAAATTTTTGAGGGGGACAAATTTCGACTGGGTGATGATTTTTTTGGGATGATAAGTTTCAAACCAGGGAACAAGTAGAAAACTTAGAAAAGACTGCAGTAAGTGTCAATGTATATTATCAACGATTTTTTAAAATATACTTTCGATAGCACTGTTTTTAAGAAGAGGAGAGCAATAAAATATCATGGAAGGAGGGTTATGCGCCATCGATTTAGATGGGATGGGATTCCCTGTAATTCAAAAAGGTACGAAATAATTTATGCTGGTTATTTGCCGACAATTTTTTCTAACTTGTTACGTAATTTTGACGAATTACGTATCCCAAATAATTTATGTGATTACGAATGCTTGTAGAATCGACAAATAAGAAAAGTTTAATTGTCAGTACAAGGCCGATAAAAAAATATATACCTCATAGCTAGCTGCCTTGTTTTTATTACAGTTGTCAAGGTCAACTAAGAATACCAAGCGTTGGATAAAATATGTCTTCCTGCTATGACGGAGCATGGCGAATAAGTTCCTATGAAATGAACGATTTTATCTATCTATCTACTTTTTAGCTTTCCACGTGGTCTTTTGCCTTCTATTGAGGCATTCATTGTTACGTAGAGATTTCTAGATGGGTTCCTACGAGCTACATGCCCCGCCCATGTTAACCACCGTGCCTTCATATCATGGTATATCGATTGAGCAGTTTCTGTAAGCAGTTCTTTATTGATCTTTCTTCTCCATGTGTTAGTACTCTGATCCCAGATAGCTCCGGTTGTCGTTTGGAGGATTTTCCTCTCAAATCTTTCAACACTTTTTTCTAGGGTGCTGGATAGTGTCCAGGTCTCACGGCCATATATTAGAAACTGGCTTTATCATAGCATTGTACACAACAGTCTCGTAAGATTCTTGCAGTTAACTATCAGCTTATTGCTATTTACTAGTATGCTACTTTAAATCTTGGAAAAACGCTACATTTAGATGTTTTATTGACATAAACATTGTAAAGTACAAGTAAATCAATGCAAAACGCTTATTTAGAAGTAACTTCATTCGAAAAGTTTGTTCGTAGAAGTTGCTAAGAAATCTTAGGATGACCAAATAATTTTAAGCGAATAATTAGACAAAAAAACGGATTTAGCTATTCGTAACAGGCATCAATTGCAACCTGCTATTTAACAACGGACCTGGGATCAGCCAATAAGTAAATTCGTAAGAATTTAAAATATGTTCATTTCCTTGAGTATATTGTGGTTTCGATGTTAGTTTTTTTATTTTCTATTGAAACAATGTAACAAATTCGAATAAGACAACACAATAAATAATAATTAGTAAAATCTTAATAGCACTAATTATACTCTTCTCATCATATAAATGTTACATTATGGTATCATGTTACAAATATTATATTAATAAAAACAATGAACTAGTCAATAATAAAATTAAGATGCTCTTAAAAACAAAATAAATACATTAATAGCTACAAAAAAGAAGAGAGAAATATAAAACAATACAATTTACTTTTCGAACGATACGTTAAAAAACAGAAAATGGGAGAGTCGCTTTTTCTTTTTTTTTTTTATTGTTCACATTCTTGAAAAGAGATAAGGCACTTTCCATCTAATGGTCTAATCTCTTTTTATCGGAGGCGGCAAAGTGTGAAGAATTTCAGCAGAGTAAAATGAAATTCAATTAAAAACAGCTAATAGATTTTTAACAGCTTAAACGAAGTACCAATATTGGTTTCCCATGAGCTATAGCCAAAAAAAAAGGCCTATATATAGAAAAATCATAATTTGCTGTAAATAAGGGGATTAGTTCCTCATCAAATGCAGAAAAAACATGAAAAGTACCCTCAAATTCCACGTTCGCTTCTATCCAAAATGGAGGTTTAAAGATGGCTAATAGAACTTTCAGTATTATGTTATGTTTTTTCTTATATCTCTCTCAAAAACCATCATTCTTGAATTCTGCAAGAACTAATATAATCGGCAAGGATTTTAGTTTTGGATTCCAACGAAGTTCATCTCTTGAAAAAATGATAAACGAGCTTCAAATTAATCTTTTTGGGTTCGAAAAGGCGAAATTTTCTTGATTCTGATTCTATCACCCCTCATAGTTTTGAAATTATTGTCAAATATAAAATAATGCTTTTTTGTAGTCCTAAGAAGCAAGGAACGTTCGAAAAAATGTTGTTTTTTTTTTTTAATATTTACAGAAAATAGTAAAGATATGTTATTTTTTAATAAAAAAAGTCACGATCTCAAAGCTGAATTCCATCTCGCACTGGATAGGATATGGACTAGGAGCTAATGATCATTTCATTTAACTGAAGGACTTACAGTTAGTAACCATTTTAAATTGTAGATAAACCTCATCTGAAAACACAACGTCGGTCAGCCGGTTGAAAGCCGTTGCTCTCTATACGAAAACTGAAATTAAATTGGCGACATTTGACGTTTCGTTTAACGTTTTGAAATTGAAATGATGTAAAGAATATGTCTCTAAAAGATAATTAATCTGGACTGACGATGTACTCGGTTCCATTTGGAAAAGTGGTGGAATCAAAGGTATCAAATTAGTCCAGTAGAATGATACTAGAATGTGGAAAAAAAAAGCAACTAGTCTCTCTTCAGGTTTATATTCAGTTTAATATGTTGCTGAATCTGAATTTGAAGTTCTAAAACGAAATTTTAGATTGCGTTCTGAGATACATGCAAAAAACAGCGAAATTTTACGAACCCCGATACGAAAATTCAGGTTATGAACCTTCATCTCAGTATAATTTTAAAATTAGTTTCAATCACACTTAGCTTGGAAACGCGCTTCTGGAGGATCTAAAACTCCTGCCTTATTGAAGTCTTAATAACTTTAATTAAATGCGCCATCAAAAATTTTACAGTGGGTACATTTTTACGAGGCGATTGTTTTTGAGGGGGAGGGGGGGACACACATACCTACGATATTATGAATGTTTGGAAGAGGACGAAATTTACGCACTTTTTATAGTTTTTGTCCATGTCTCCGTAACTATGTATTTATCGAACTTATTACTCTAAACAAAGGTAAAGAAAATAAAATCTTCTATATATTATTAGAATAGTTTTTAAACAGCCAAGGAGTTACAGCTAGTTAACTGTTTACTTATTTCACAAGAAATAGCTGTTTTCGTTCCTTTTTTTTTTTACCCAAAACTCAAATTCTATGCATCTCTTGAAGAAATTTATTATAAACATTTTTAAAGAACATTGATTTTTCTAAATATCTCATGTAGATACGAGAATATGTGAAAAGGTAAGTAGCTGCTAAAGGGGACGGAATTGAAGTCTTAGTATCTGCTGCACTCAAATTAATCTCGAAATGCGCTCCGAAGTCCGGCGTTCTATATAATGACTCTTTACATTCTTTATTTCAACTTTACATAAGCTTGAATCTAATTGAAAGAGCATCAAATTGATCCTATTGAGGTCGAGTATAATCGTTAATAAACCAAAGGTGAAACGCCAGTAGTGTAATACGAATGTTGATATATCTTAAACCAACAGAATATATAAAAGCTAAATTAATACATTCTGTTTGTATTAAAAATATAGTTGAAATAGCGGAACCAAAATAATTAAAAAGACAGAATGAGCTTAATTTGTGTGCGGTAGTTACTACGGCTGAAATAGGACTTAAATGCCGTGCTCTTTAATAGTGGATAACATTCTCACATATTTTTAACATGAGGTATACGGAAAATTTAATGTTCTTTCAAAATGATTGTAGTAAATTTCTTAAACAGATGCATAAATTTTGAGTTTTGGGAGAAAAAAAAAGCAAAGAAAACAGTTATTTCTTGTGAAATAAGTAAACTTGCTGTAACTCCTCACCTGTTGGCCTTACATTAAAAAGCTTTCATAATAATACATAGAAGATTTTATGTTATTTAACTTTGTTTAGAGTAATAATTTCGATAAATACATAGTTTCGGAGACATGGACAAAAACTATAAAAAGTGCGTAAATTTCGTCCTCTTCCAAACATTCATAATATCGTAGGTATGTGTGTCCCCCCCCCCCCTCCCCCTCAAAAACAATCGCCTCGTAAAAATGTACCCACTGTAAAATTTTTGATGGCGCATTTAATTAAAGTTATTAAGAATTTAATAAGACAGGAGTTTTAGATCCTCCAGAAGCGCGTTTCCAAGATAAGTGTGATTGAAACTAAATTTAAAATTATACTGAGATGAAGGTTCATAACCTGAATTTTCGTATCGGGGTTCTGGACCATGTGAACGTAACCATTGTTATATCGGTTTGATAAGGTTTGGGGATCGTTCGTCATTTACTTTTGGATTTGGCAACATAAGACAATCTTTTGAATTCCATATTTACAGTGCGATGGCCAGCCACCTTGTCGATCGTGTTCTGCACAAGTGCAGAACTTTTTTTTTTTTTTTTTTTTTTTGGTCCTTCCCTTCCTCGCCGTTAAGGCTATACGGGATTTTCCCGGGCCAGGGAGTGTGGGCGGGGATTTAAAAGACTCCCTCGGCACCGGGATGCGAACTCGTGACTATTTTTATATCTTTAATTCATATGTCAGGTTGCCAGGCAACGGCGGTGCAGTGCACACGCTTTAGCCCATTCGGCTACCCCGCCCACAAAATGGAGGCTATGTCTGCACCCTCTGAGTAGTTAAGAACTGTACTTTACAGTAGGTTGGAGCTTCGAACCTCGATAGCTGGGGTTGTGATCCTTTACAGAATCGATGGGTCGTAAGACACCACATCGTGACCCAGGGATACCCCAAGCCTCCACTGGGCCAGTGGAGCCTCCACAAGTGCAGAACTATTGAAATAACAGTTATAAATTGAAATAACAGCAGAATTATAAATTGAAATAAAAGTTAATTTTTTTGGGCCAAACTTGGACCCTCCCCCCTCTCACTAATTGAGATAAAAGACGCTAGCTTAGAGACACAGAGAGGAAGCGGTGCGGACAGAGCATTGCCCTGCCTTGGAGAAAGGACCATACAACAGCGGGGCCAGTGAACTCACATCTGGCTATTAAATCTACGGCTCCATGCATGAAGGACTTTAAATTTATAATAAGACTAAATATTTATAAGCTTATTAATCCCAAAATAAATTATCATGATACTACTAATGCTGATTTTATTACATTATTTGAAATAAATAACAATAAAAAATAATCAGGATATTGTGTTATCATTTATGTTAAGTTTGCCGAAGTTTCGGCTAAAGTATGTGGGTCATCAAAAATAGCATCTGAAAAATGAGAAACAGATAAAACTCTATAGAATACAAAATATGGAACGCAGAGATGGAAATGAGAATGGAGAACCGATTCCTTTGCAAGAATCCTATTCTGAAGTGATTCACACGAAAGAATCACGATTCACGAGGAATCGGTATCGGTCGATTAACTAGGCATCAGTATTGATCGATTCACTCGGAATCGGCCGACTCACTAGGAATCGGAATCGGATGATTCTCGACGACGCCATTAGAACGCTATCTCAGTTCTTCTAACTTGAACCAGGTCTTAATTTCAATAAGTTAAAAAAAAAGAATTTGAATAACAATAAGGTTGGAAATATTATTTTTTTCCCATGTAAAATTCTCTTTTAATTAAAACGAAAAATGAAGATAAAGACAAACAATCGAAGAATCGATTCACCACTATCATTGAATCATTGCGAATCGATTCAGTTAAAAGAATCGAAAATCTTTAATGGAACGTAAACATGAGATAACAATAATATAAACATAAGAGTAATACAAATATAAAAATACGACAAGAAAATGTTTTTTTTTTATCGTTCAGAACGATCTAAGAGATAAAGTTTTAAAAAATAGATATGTTATTTGTGTGTAGAAATAAAAATTGTACAACTTATAAAATGGATTCAATGCTTTCTTTTTTGTCGAATATGATCTTGAGAAATGACCTTCACACAGAGTTCAAGAAAAGAAGTTAATAATAACTCATCTGTATTTTTTTACACAATATTTCGACGAGCCAACCTAAATTATATTGTCAATTCAAACACCAAAATAAACAAAGCTTCCCATATCTTCCATTAATAATAATTATAGAACTGCCAAAATTCTGACCGTACAAATTTGTAAAGCATTAACTTTTTTTAAAATTATAAATTAACTAACTTTTTTGAGTTTAGATACAGCAATTATGTTTAATATCATAAATTATTAGCACTCAGCAATGTACAATGATTCCGGAATATTATTCGATCGACATCATACATTCAAAATAAATAATGATTTTGGAAATGCTTTTTTTCATAATTATTAAAACCTTAGTCTTATTAAAAGATGAAATTTAGTCTCATTAAAAGATGTTATTTAGTCTTATTAAAAGATGAAATTAAGTCAAATTAACTTTTTTCTTGGAATATACTCCACGTTTCAGAATAACATTTGAGCAGAGAGTATCTGTTTGTTATAATATACATTTGTAACTTATGTACGAATTATCAATAAGATAAAAATCACCAAGCAATGGTTTAAGAATTAATAAATATTGTTTAAATCGCAGCGATAGATCGATAATCAGGAATAGAAATGAACAAAGAAAATTAAATAGTTAAGATGTAAAAGATACGACGTCACAAAATTATCACTCTTGATATTATTAAATAAAAAGAGAATTCTAATTTTTTCAAGTTCTATTAATCATATAATATCATTATTTATATTTAGTACCAACTATAGTCTACTAAAATTAATAGAAGTAGACAATATTTCAGAAGATAACTTGAATTTCTTGTTCATGCCTTTTTAAAATAGATTTTAAATAAATAGATTTTAAATAGATAGAAAATAGATTTTAAACAGTTACAAAATTCAGTCTACTTTTATTTTTGACTAAAACCAGGTTTCTAAGCATTCCAGACCTTCACCTTATTTACAAACCGGTTGGCTGGAATTTACTATGCGGAAGCATGTAACAAAACGAAAGAACTAGATCTGGAAGCAAAGTTTATAAACTCTGTTTTTTTAACTTTTACCTTGTTTTTTTTTTTAATCTAAAACGAAAATCATTTATATATATATTCAGTTTATTGCACCACTTATCCATTGGACTTTAAAAATATGAAAACAATAAATAACTATCTGGAATAAAAATATTGATAACGGACTTTTTGGCAAGAGATTTTTTTTCACACACACATATGTATACATATAAAGAATATATGCAGTGGTCTTAAATCAAAGGACAAATCAATTTTTTTTAAATCAAATTTTATTTCATCATTAAATATTTTTTATGTTAAGGATTTTATATCCACTTAATTAAAAAAATTAACAGTTTTTAAAACTGAAAATAGGCGACTGTATGTATTGGAAAATCACGTTTGAAAATTGGAAATCAGTCCATTAAAAATTAAGGACAAATTTTTCTTTTTCCAAGCATATTCCAAGTAATGGATAAGTGTAGGGCCAGTTTGGAAATCAGCGTCTAAATTTAACAAGCGCATGTCTTCCGCCATCTTTCCACCATGCAGTGCGGCATTATGCCTCTAGTTGACTCATAAACCTATCGTTAACAGAATTATGTATTTAAAATAACAATTCAATAGTTAATTAGTTTAGAATTAATTAGTTTTAGTTTCTGAGACATTTTAATCTACATCTTCAATAAAACTCATTATAACAAATCAATAGAAATAAGTCGTTATAAAAAAGATATAACAAAATTATAATTGGTTTTCGACACTATTTTTTTCTTTTTCGCCTCTCTAACATGGCTTCACGTTAAGATACAATTTTGAGTAATAGCTCATTATGAAAAAGATATAATGATGAACATTTACCTCACTAACAATACGCAGATCCGATTTTCAGTTTTTGAGATATTTTAATCCATATGCAAATACACTTAAATTAGTCGCCTCCAGCCGTCTTTACCCGAGCGATACGAATTGAAGATCTGACGGCTCAATCAAATTCACTCTCCATAAAAAAAGTGCAAAGAAGTTTTCACTTCAAAAATGTTTGCGAAAAATAAGAATACATCGAAATTATGTAAGTACATATTACTTAGTACACTGAAAAATATAGCTGGAATCGATTCTGTAGGATACTTTTTAAAAAAAATATTTTTATAATATTTGCCGTAAGGAAAACCACCAATGGATCACCATTTGAACGGTTATGTCTAAAACCAAATAGGTAATCTCCGATAATTTCCTCGGCACATATCCTCATTAGATTAATTAGGATTAACGCAAATATTAATAATAATAATAAATATATCGTGATATTCGTTTGAATGCCGTAAAATTGTCGGTTTTGCTTGACATGCGTGGAAACACCGTTTTAATTGACTACATCCAACATAAACTATGACCTGTCTAATTTATTTGTGGTCAGTTTTATTCATGTTATTGTTTATTATTTCAATTATTTTCCTTTATTATTATTTCTTAGACATAAATTATTCAAAATATTTATTATTTTATATTGTGTTAATTGTTTTATTATTTATCAGTCATTCATGTATATGCAGTTATTATAAGGTCTTTATTTGTACTGTGCATATAAAACATAAAATTTCGACGAGACATACGATGTAATCATGGCGTATAAATATTCTTTGTATTTTGGAAATTTATAATTTATACATATTTAATAAAGCATTTCTCGTTCAAATTTATCGTGATATTTTTAATTAATGGTCTAGAAAATTTAGTTTTCGTTTCTCCAAAAATTGTAGCAAGGTTCCCTAGTCAAAATGAATCACAAAATTTTTATCAAAAATGGTTCACTAATCTCAGATGATGGTTATAAATTGAGGCTAGTGACAGATCGATATTTTTAGATTTTTTTTTTTCCTATTCAATAGCAATAGATATTGGAAGTAAAAGTTATAGCACTCAAAAACATAATTTTATTTTACCACGATATAATACTTATTTTACTTTAGGTTTATGTTGAATGAGACAAATAAAATAAAATATAAAAACGAACATTAAAAAAGTGCTAAAAACATAAAATAGTGCATAACATGTCAATGAGGCGTAATAACACGAGCCTAACTAAAAGAAGTCCGGATGTGCCTCGGCATACTAATGTCTGATGCAACTGCACGGTGTTGAACATGCCAATAGAGAAGTGCAAAAAAAGAAACACGAGAAATATATTTTAGAAAGAATCATATCCTCCTCTACCAGTTTCATGAGCAAGTATTAATAGATTAATTAGCTAGGCGAGTTGGGGCAAGGGCCGACATCCGGTTTTTAATCCGTCTTTCTCCCCCTCTCTCGAAATAATGATAAGCTCCGCGATGAGACGAATAACCAGGTAGTTGGAACTTGATATAAATTAGATAATTATAAAGCAAAAAATACAAACATACAATAGGAAATACATAAATATACAATAGGTTCAAGTTTGTTTTTTTATAGTACCATGATAACAGCAACTCTTATGATTCCATAGAATATTCTTAATTTAATGCTGAAAAGTCGCTTATTACTAAAACGAACTCTAATAGGTTTTTATGGAAATGGAGATAGCTATTGATTCCAATTTTAAAACAACTGATGAATGCGATAGTGCAATAATTTTATTTTTTTTTAAAACGAACCTAAAGATTGTAACAAAGATTAAGGAAGCATTGAAAAAAAATATAGAACTCTTCTCTCTTTTGCTTCCTGTGAATAATTATTAATTTCTATTTTAGAATGTGCATGTGCTCTTACATCTTGACTTTTGCTACTTGATGTTTGTATGTGGCAAGCCATACTATTGTATATATAATAAGTATCTTTTTTGTTATTTTTATTATCTTTATTATCTTAAGTATGATCCTATTTATTTTTAATTGTATATAGTAATTATGTTTAAATTCTCTCTTTTTCTTTGTATTTTATATTTTTTTTTTCATGTACATAGTATTAATTATGTAAATATTTCTTTCTGTAAATAGATCTTTTAACCTATTTTTGTTGCTTTATAAAATATCCAACCTAACCCCTTCTCACCTGAGCTACTAGCATGGTAGAATATATATTTAATGATAGCCAAATAATGTATAAGTAC